AATTATGACTATATTTATATCAACAAAAAAAGTTCTTTATAAATTTAAAAATTATCTCTAATAATATATACATACATACATGAATATTATTTATATTACTATTAACTATATTCCAACATAGCTATATTACTTATATTATTATATTAATTACTATATTAAATGGCAATAAACGACAATTTTAGTTAAAAATAACTTATATTTTTGATTTCTATTATAAAACTAGTTATCAAAACACAAATTAAAATACATTATTTTTGATTTCTTGCTTGGATATAGAAAAAATATTATTCGATTATATACAAATGAACTATTGGTGACGCAACTAGTTGCTTTAGTCTAATAGGGTACATATAACATAATGCCCCAACTCGGTGGCGCCACCAGATCATGTTACCCGTCTGGTGGCTGAAATCGGTCACCAGAACGACAACAATTTTTGGTGGCGCAACCAGTTGCCGTAGTCTAATGGGTCGCATTTACTTAAATGCCCCGTGACGCACTGAGTAACTAGTGGAGCAACTTGGTGGCGCCACCAGTTGCCTAGTCTAATAACGGTCTAACGAACACAGATAAGCGACACTCCTTTGAAGTTGCGTGGGCAAGCCGCCAATGAGTGCCAATGACAGGAAAGCAACCAGCAAACTAATAGTCAGTGGGCATATCACACAATATAAATTCTTAAATCAAGTTGAGCATTGATGTTGACTTTCAATAAATATGAAATATTGAACTGAAATAATAATTACATGCAGGGCCGGCTTTTGTTGACATTCTAAATGGCGTAATTTGTTACAATAAAAACATCATGAGTATACTTAATTTTTTTATTTAGACATTTACCAAACGGGAATTTGTTTCGTGAGCACAGAGGTGATTTTTAAGGGTTGAAGTGTTGCAACCAACCAAAATTATTTTATATGAGCAGATAATTACATTGTAGATGATATAAATGCACTACAAAAGCGTTTGAACCTGTCAAACGATTTTTTACAATTATTTTTATTAAAAGGGGTGGTTTTTAAGATTATTTAAGGGTTGAGAATGTACACAATATTTTAATTACCTAATTTAACACGATTTAAATCCATAAAATGCTTTAATATAAATTTTTTCATTATTTTCAAGGGGTGATTTCACCCCTTAAAAATAAAAAGATCATCTAGCGCATATATAACTTTTGAAAAGAGAGGTAAGATAAACCTAATTCCAAATTTTTAGCAAAATCGATTCAGTTATAAAAAATTTAGAGATATTGACCTCTTTTCCTCCACAGTGACTACTATAGCGAGGCAAATTTGGTTATAACGAGAGAAAATAAGATCGAAAAACGTGTTTTTTACGTTTTTGGCCTGGTCGTCACTATAAATAAATACCCTTTTCAACTGCCGCCCGCAATAAACTTCTTCGGAAATTTACAATTTGTTATTCACAAGTGTCAATGTAGGGGTTGATCATTCGCACCTAATAATAAGAAGGTCCTAATAGACAAGATGTCGAAAGTGCTTTAAACGTTGTAAGAAATTTTATCGTAAGACAAAACGGAAATAAAAAAGCAAACAACTGTTTCACATATTTAGAAAGATAAAATACTGGACAATTTAAAGCAGCCAAAAATGACACCTCCAATAGTTTAAGTTATCCTTGAAAATACACTTTATACAGATTTACAGAATACAGATTTTTTGTTTTATTGTATTTCATTGACAATAAAAGTAAATATCTTTTTTTTAAACGCCATTCAAACAATATTTAAGTACCATCTTATATTGCTCCGAATGGCGTCACTATAGGAGGTTATTGTTTTAGAAAACTATATATTCATCTGTATGCACAGTATTATTGTTGTTTGATATAACGGGATCGGCTTATAACGAGGTAATTAGTCTGCCATTTCAGTTCTCGTTATAGAGGGTTCTACTGTACTAGGTGTAGAGTCTAGAGTCTACTGTACTAGGTTCTTTACAATATAGAATGAGCTTATTAGTATAAATAATAAAACGGCGCGCCGTTGTGTTCAATCCGAATTATTCGTCAATACAGTGGCAGATAGCACTTGTTTTTAATTTAAATTTAGTAATACGCACTCCACAATATAATTAATTTGTCAATATTTGCGTCATACACTCATGGACAGATGAATAAATAATAATAATAACCTTAAAATTTAATTATTTCATAATTCCCACATACTCTCCTATCCAGAGGATACGGCAACACTGTGCAGAAAAATGACAAAGTCAAAATGGATGACGTACAACGAATTTACTATCAAAAAGGCCAACATTATTCTTTTTTCTATATTACAACATATTTTTTGCAATAAAAGTCCGCTTTAGATTTGATTCATCCAGAAAGCGTGTTAAAAATCATAAATGTAATATAATATTAATTTCGTTATATACTTTTGTACTACACGTCAAAAAAATTAAACCTAAAAATAATATATAAAATAAATCTTACTAAAAATGTTCGAGAGAGCGTTTTAACTAATTCTAGATTATATATTGCATTTAAGGACCTATTTAATAATTAAAGAATGTCTTATAAATCTTGTTCAAAGTAATAAAATATTAAATATCAACCAAAGTTTGTCTTTGGTCATATAATATTTTCAAATAGGAAATATTTGTATATCGTTTTAAAATTCCAAATTAAAAACTGTTTTTGTACTGACAACTGACAGTTGACAGCCGAAACTAGACAGAAGAAATTCACGATTGAAACTAAATGTAGAGGGCAGGTCGATTGCAGTGTCATGGCCGATATAAATGGTATAAACAAACATAACAGTCGAATGTTAACCATCGCTTTTCCATGTTTAGTTTGGTTTAAGACGAGTTATTTTTATCATTGACAAATGGAAATTAGCCTTGATATCTTTGAGTATTGTGGTGAAGCAAAGAGTCCATTAGTTCAAGGGGAAGCAGTTTTCAAGTGATGAATTCTTAAATTTTAACTTTAATGTTTGGAACTAGCTTGTGTATTAATGATGATTAATCCTATTTTGTGTATACCTGGGAACCCAGAATATAATGTTCTGTGTAATGTTTGTCTTAACTAATATATTCATTATTTTATACTATTCCTTATGTTTTTAATATGTTAATTTTTATTTTATACTATTTTTTTGACATATGTAAGAACTTTATTGTATATTAACATAAATAAATAACTTGAACTTGACTTTATTGTAAGATAGTTCATTTGATTACATGAAATCAACCTTAACTTGAGATCAGCTGTCAGAAAATATCAATAATTTGATAATAAATTGTAAGATTCCATAATAAATCATTTTTTCTTCAAGTTTTCCAGTTTCTTCTTCTTCTTTAAGTTCCATCTTCTATCGAAGGTTGTAAATCATCATGGCTATGTGGACTCTGTTGACTGCGGCTCTAAAAAGTTCTGCACTACTGCATTCAAACCATTCCCTTAAATTCTTAAACCAGGATATTCTTCGTCTTCCCACATTTCGCTTTCCTTGGATTTTGGCTTGCTTAATAAGTTGTAATAATGCGTATTTTTGCCCTCTCATCACATGTCCTAAGTACTCAAGTTTTCGTCTTTTGATAGTTAATATTATTTCCAGTTTTGAAAGAAGAAATAGGGACATATCTTTTGTCGATCTTGAATTGCATTGAGGACCAGAACAATATCGATTTAATTTAAAATACTTTAACGTAGTCATAATGCTGTAATTTACTAAAAAAATGTAATAATTCTATTCAAATCAACAGCTGTCTGGTTTGTTTATACCACTTTTAGTAGTTTCAATTTAGACAATTTAGAGGTCAGATACTTTGTTTTCAATCGCGAATAGTATGTACCTTTAAAAGATTCGCCAAGGTGAATAATTTAGACGAAAAATATCAGATGTGTTTCTAATGTGGGCGGATGGAAATAGATAACTTCTAATTCAAATTTAACATAATTTTTTGAATTATCACGGTCTGGGTATTTTGTGGGTGTTTTTGATTTATAAGACCTTCAATAAAAAATCAATTTTCCTAAAAGAAATAAATCTCTATAAAAAATTAATATAAGTATACACATTTTATCTTGAAAATGCTCTTTCTGTCAAAATAATAAACAACTGCGTGCAGAAAAAAATGATACATCTCTTAATTTATAATTACAACTTTTTTTTTGTATAAAAACAAATCTTTGTAATACAATACCACAGAATAATAAACAATCCGAATGCCCACTCTGAGTGAAAAAATAAGTACGCGCAAACGGAATCAGCCATGTTTTAAACGGAACCAGTGCTGTTTAGTGAATTTTATCCGGAGTGAATAATCAAATTAACCCGGTTTAATTAATTTACGGCAACTACAGACATAATATGCACTACTTTATTCATACTTTTAGTTGAAGAATGAATTAAATTATTTCAAGTGTACTAAATTATTAATCTCTAAAAATTTAAATTAAAGTTCTGTCGTAGCTTGTCACAAATTTCTAAATTCGAGTCTATGTTTCCGTCTAAAACGAGAGTGGGCATTCTTATTGTTATTTATTCTGTGACTATAACATTAGAGTATGACTCTAAAATTTATAACCTCAGTTTTGGCTTTTTTAGGGCAAAAACATTTGGGCATTTGGAAATATCTGTATTACTTTTCGATTTTAATTTATAATTGTTTTTATCGAATGTCTTCTACAAAAGCATAAATTGGAGAGGCTTGTAATAACAATTTGGGGATTTTAAGTGCAATTGTTATATTTTCCTTATTCACCAGCACGGAGTTCATCTACAATTAAATCTTAAAAAAATATGGACTGGAAATTTTGGAATTTGTATTAGGGTCAAAAGTAAAGATGAATATTTTGAACACGTTGCTGAACAGGATTTTAGAGATGAAATCTTGAGCAAAAGGGGACATTGTTTTTAATTAAAAGAAAAATACATTAAAGATATGGATAATAGATAATAATTAATTAAATTGTTATATATTTTACCATTAGATCAAAGTATTGAATGACAATTAATAGTCACTTTATAAAATATTTTGGCACTTTTGAAAAGAAAGTAATTCTCAATTGTATTAAGTTGTATCTAGTTAGAGCATTTCCAATATTCAAATGATTAAATCTCTGTTAAAAACCGGAATGTTTCCTTAAAATCTAGTGAAAACTTTTTAAATGTCAGTCCAGAAAATTCTATATTCTTCTCCTATAAGTAGAAATTTGAATTATTGAAAAAACTAGCTAAAACCATCGATCTTTCGCATTACTTTTTCTTTTTCCCGGAAGAGCTTCTTACATTGTTATTTACGTTATCTGGAGGGGGATGTGGAACGCTACCATTCGCCATTCTGTAAATGATATACTATCAATATTGGATATACCGTACAATAAATAAGAATAATTTAAAATCCACAAGAAAAATGAATTTGCTGTAGTTGGCTGGCTGTATACCAGAAACCACAAAAATTTAATTAAAAAAATCCTTTATAAAATGTATAATAATATAAAAACCCTATCGGGATACATTACAGAACGTTTTCCGAATGAATATTCCATCATCAGTGCTTTTCCTAAAGTAAGTATTACCACTTTAATTAAAGCAGACGAGAAAGCTAAATTTTGACTAGGGTTATAACAAAAATGTGGTTTAATACTCACTAGATTGACAATTTGAAACCACCCAATACCTGGGTAGTTACACTTTTGCTGATAATAATCTAGAATGTTTAAGTTATAAACGGAATTTAATTCATGGCAACGTAAGATTTCAACACTGTCGTTGCTAGGCCCTTAGACGAAGTGTCTACGAGGACTTGTTGATAGTAACTGATCAGACGAATTAGGATGAAAGTTTGAACAAGTCAGTCAATGCAATCGGAAATCTGTATCTAAATGTGACTATAGTCAACATTGTGTATAATTTAAGTTGTTAAAACTTGATTAATTATAACAGTATATTTTCAATATAATGGGATCAAAGTGTAAGCTACCCTGAAGGTTTGTTGGAAAATTGTAGAATAGGCATTGTTATAGATGGATAGAAGTTTTGATTGTAGGTAGGCAAACAATAATACATATATCTGATTAATCTGCAATGAACTGAAAAATTAAATAGTAAGGCCCTGTCCCTTTATGTTTTAAATCAGCATTTTGTTGCTGGAAATTTGGAAAGCCGAGCATAAAATTACGGTTACCATGTAATTTGAATTTATTTTAGAAATTATTATTCTTTTCTCACTATTTTTGATTGTAACATAAACATAGTTTACTCATGGATTGCTTGTAAAAAAATGGTTGTTGCTATTTCGGTAAGCGTTTGAGATAAAACGGGCCCCTTACCCTAATTCCTAAAAAAAAATTAACAGTATAGTTTTTGTTTCTGTGGTTTTAACGTAAATTGTTTGTGTAGTGTTGTCACTGTCAGTGTGTTACAATGAACATAAGTTCTGTTGTGGCGGCAAGAATTGTGGCGCTGTTAGAAGATGGTCACGGTCAGCGCGAAACTGCGACAAACATTGATGTAAGTCTCTTAAGTATGCAACGAGTATGGGGACGGTACGAAGAAACCGGTCTGCTTACTCAAACAGCCGGTTTAGGTCGAAGCAGAATTACAACAGCTAGAGATGACAGCTCTGTTGTTTCAGTATTTTAAGAAACCGAACGGTCACGGCAGTTTTCTTTAAAAAAAAATCATGTGCAAGAAGTGAGAAATGTAAACATAAGTGAATGGTCAGTTAGGAGGTAACTTCATGGTGCAGTTTTATCTTTTCGATAAGCTCAACTCTGTCAGCTCAGATGATATTTTACTTATTACTGTCACGTATATTTGCGTTAATTCAACTAATTTTCTTGGTATTCCCAGTTTTAACGTTGCTATCCACAATTTGCTTCTTATTATGGAATCATATGCTTGCTGGAAATCTATGAAAATTTGGTGCACATCGCGGTTGAATTCCCAGTTTTTCTCTAATATTTGCCTGATGGTAAATATCTGATCTATAGTTGACCTTCCAGCACGAAAGCCGCATTGGTAGTCGCCTAGAGTATCTTCCGAATATGGTGTGAGTCTCTTTAGCAAGATAATTGATATCACTTTATATGATGTGCTAATAAGCGATATGCCTCTATAGTTTCGGAATTGTTCTTTGTTTCTTTTTTATATATGGGAATTATAACGCTTCCATTCCATTCTCTAGGCAATTTCTGTTATTGCCATACTCTCAGAATGATGTCATACAATTTTTGGTGTTAAAGGTGTCCTTATTTTTTTAACAACTCTCCATTTATGCCATCATTTCCTGGTGTTTTATGGTCGTTTAGAGACGCGATCGCATTCTTTACTTCCTCAAGTGTTGGTGCTGGTATTTCGATATCTGCAGAATAAAACGTAAAATCTGCTTCCTCCTTCTCACTTTCAACATTTAGTAAATTCCGAAAATATTCGTTTCATCGTTCAACGATTTCCGTTTCTATCATTATAAGTTCACCTGCTTCATTTCTCATAGGCCTTTTCTGACTGACTTCACTTCACTAAAGAATTTCCTTATTTGATTCCTCTCGCCACTTCTGTCCATTTCCCGGATTTGTTATTCTAGGTAGCTCCTCTTTTTAGTTCTGAATAGTCGCCTTGTTTGTGCTCTTGTTCTGTTAAAATCTGCTTTGTTCTCATCTGTGGGTTCTTGTAGTTTTAATCTTTTTTTTTTGTTTTTATTTCCAGAATTTCCTCGCATGCTTTGTCAAACCATTTCCGTTTTGGGCGAGTCCTTTTTTCCCCAATGGTTTACTTGGCTGCTTGTTCTCTAACTGATGTCACTTGCTGCCATGCTTGTTCTAACTCTACATTATGCTCATCCTCTCCCAGCAATTGGAATCTGTTGCTTATTGCCACTTGATAATCCCGTTCTTTATTTGGTGTTTTTAGGGCTTCTATGTTCCATATTTCTCTTTTTTCTTGTTCCCGTTGATCCCGTTCTTAACTTAGATTTCAACAGAAAGTGATTGCTATCGCTATCAGCTCCTCTCATACTTCGCGAATTAATAATGTTACTAGAGTGTCTTGCGTCAATGAGGACATGATATATTTGATTTCGTGTTCTTCCATCATTTGAAACCAATATGACCTTGTAAATGTTCTTTCTCTCGAATTGGGTGGATTTAACGATCATGTTATTAGATATTGCGAATTGTGTTAGCCGGTGTCAATTTGTAACGATGTTCTGATCGTTTAACAGTTTAAACCGTGGGAGTGTCAATATTTGTGCATCTACTTCTTCAACAAGACGACGAAGTGGGATTCGAAGCGGCTATTTAAGGCGTGTGAGTAGCGGAATTAGACAGTCTTGTAGCTAGCGCTCTAGGCTCCCCGATTCGCCGGTGTATGGAACCTGCGAGCCAACCCGGACAGAGAGATTTCCGTATTGAGGATCATACTCTGTCCTTAACTAAGCAGAACCCATCGGTATTGTGTATATATTTAGTTTGCGAGTGCGTCTGCGGCCAATGACTTCACCTATTTCATTTGTTTGTTATTAATAATAAATTTTTCTTTCTTTTATAGACGTTCGCCGGGTAATTCATTCATCGCGGGATCCAGGAGGGCACGTAGGATTCATTTTATTTTTTTATTTATTGTATATATGCTAAATTAATAGATTTATTTTTATTTCAACCTGTGTTTTACTGAGTCTGTCGCCCCGAAAGAGCTACCCGTCACACATTATGATTTGTTGTGTCGTGCAAGCTATGCTTACCAATTACTTCTCTTAAATAATCTTCCTTACCTAGTTTAGCGTTGCCATCTCCCATCACTATTTTGACGTCGTGTTTTGAAACAGCTTTATACTGTTGGTCTAATAATTCATAAAATTCATCTTTCCTATCTTCTTCGGCATCTTCTGTTGGGGCATATATTGAGAATATTGTGAGATTGAACCACTCACCCTTGAGTCTAATATAGCCGATTGGTTCGTTTATTGGCTTGAAATCTATCACTGCTGATTTTAGTCTTTTTGCAATGACAAAGCCACATCCGCATTCATGTCTATTCTCACTACCCGACCCAAAGACTATAGTATCTTCCATTTCCAAAATTCCCGTTGCTGTCCATCTTATTTCCTGTATTGCTGTTATATCCATGTTATATTTTTGTAGTTGTCTAATGGCTCTCGTTGCTATCCCAGGTCTGTGCCAGCTTATCATATTCCACGTTCCTATGCAAATGTCCGTATTTCGTTGCGAGTGTCGATTATATTTCCTATCCGTCTTGTTCCGAACAATTATCATGCCCGTTTATCCTGACACTTAGTGGTCTGGCTGTTTCTCCCACACAGAAATTGTTGCCGTCACAGGATTCTGTATAGATACAGTTTTTCTCCATTTTGTGTTGTTAGGTTTGGTTATGGACAGGATGGATCTGATTGTATTGGTTGTTTTGAAAGTTGTTGTGATGTTGTACTTATTTGCTATTCTTTTAAAATTTTCCAATCCTTTACGTATGATATTATAATCGAAGTGTAAGTCTTATATCGGGAGCAGTCTGATGATGGGTTGAAAAATACCACATTTTGTGCACCTATCATAATCGCAGTTCACGTGACTTCATTACTCTATCATAAACACTTGAATAAATTTAGACAAATTCCTCGACAGTTTCCACAAATAAAATACAACGAATCTACTTACCTTGTTTCTCTTCGTGGCACCGACGCTCTTTGGTCATCCATTCTACCCGACTGGAATCTCATAATCAGCGAGAAGAAATCCTCGTCGGGAACTGTGGCTCCGCTTTTGCTGTTGCTAGCGGGAGGTGGCGGGTCCGTTTCGGCGTCGACCGCTGCAACTGGCAGTGGAGATCTCTGGTCTTCTAAACGCGAACCTTGGCATCGCACCAATTGATCTAAGAAGTTATCGTCAGGCACACTGTTGACGCTATTCGAACGGTTCGGTTCGGAGAGTCTTTGGCGGGAGTTAGATTGTAAACCTAAAAAGACATAAATATATATATATGTAAAGAAAAACTATTGTTTTGTTTTTCTTTAATCATATTTCTATTTCTTATAATATAAAATTAATATATTTATATTCTCATTTTGTTACGCTACTGTCAAAACATTAAGTTTTTCTTTTTGTTTTCATGTTAGACATACTTGTGAGGTGTTTTGCCAGTGACAATTCATTAATTTTAAGATTAACTGGAATATAAGCTTTAAATGTTGTTTCTTTTTTACAGGTAATGTATTTATTAATAATTAATAGTGTACAAGAAATAATAAAGTTTACTTTTTTACAGAGAAACGCAGTTGAGTTTATTTACAAAAGTATACGTATGCAAAAATATATGCACCTGACCTGGTAAATGAGGCAGTGATACTCTCTGTTCGTCCATTCGCTTGCTCTGCATACCGGCTATCATGTCGATGAGGTCCTCTGGAGTTTCGTTGTTGTATGGAATGTTATTCGTGTTCCTATTTTCCTTGTTGTCGATGGTAAGCGAGCACCGTTGATCGTCCATTCTCTTCGACTGAAATCGCGAGAGCAGATCGAAGAATGAGTCGTCTTCTTCACCGCCCGTTGCTTTAATGGAGGCTAGAGAATTTTTCTGTGGTAAAGAGAGACCTGGACGTTTTCCATCTGGAGTCAACTATAAAAGACTCGATGTCAACAATTTGTATAATATGTAGAACACTAATTGTTGAATTAGACATATATCTACAAAACACAAAAAAGTACCGCAGTGTTTTTAATAACCGTAGAAGGATATGTACGATTTCGGGACAATATATTTTAGTTTTTTTATGCAGGGCAATTGTGTCTGTTTTCCACTGCAGTAAATTAAATAAGTGTAAGTACTGATTTTGTTATCAAAAGAGGGCGGAAAACTGCTTTATTGTAAGCCGAAAAAATACATTTTTTTGCGTATACCGATTTTAAATAATTGATGGATTTGACCGTTACTTGATGGAAATTCATTTTATGTAACAATAAAACACTGAAAACTTTGTTTTCAAACTTCTACAAAATGTATTTTAACCTCTTATCACTACAGTTGTTTCGGCTGATTGCCTTTCTCAAGTGATATATTTTTGGCATGCGTTTACATTTTGTAGTCTCTAATGAAATAGGTTGAAGAGGGTTGAATAACAACCTAGGCAAATATATCAAAAACACCAAGAGCCAAAAAAAAACACTTACACAGTGGTGTGTACAAACTTAAATGTGGCGACTGTCCAAAAACTTAATCGGTCAAACTGGTAGAAACTTTAATAAACGAATAGCAGAACATGAAAGGGCTTTCAATAATAGAAAAACCGATTCTACATACACACTTCACCTTCTAGATTACAATCATTCTTTTAATGGCGAATTTAAAATTCTTCACATTCAAAATAAAGGCCTTAAGCTATCCTTGTTAGAATCTATGGATATCAGCAAATTAAAAAACAGATATAATTCTGAGTGACCAACTTGAGACAAACAGCTCTCCCCTCCTCAACCTATTTCATTAGAGACTATAAAAAGTAAACGCATGCCAAAAATAGATCACTTGAGAAAGGCAATCAGCCGAAACAGCTGTAGTGATAAGAAGTTTAAAACAAATTTTGTGGAAGTTTGAAAACAAAGTTTTCAGTGTTTTATACCGATTTTACATTGTACATGTTACATATACCGATTTTGATATTTCAAATTCAATTTTTTTCAACCTTCAATTTTCGAGGAAGAGTTCCAAAAGAAAAAGGTAATGGTTTAAAGATTATCATCCTATTATTTATATCTTCGTCGCAAATGCCGGTCAACTTTGACCGGTTGTGTCTCAGGAACCACTGCTCGTAATTCAATTTTTTTCCTTTCATAAGAAAAGTCTTGCGAGTCTTTTCAACGCCGTTTCGTGAATTTAATTTAATCTAGTAGTTAGCGATATATTCTTTTAATTTTTATGAAGGTCTTAAGTCTGCGGTAGCCATATTTAACGCTATATGCCAAATCCAACAACAATTAAAGTACTACCATTAAAAATAAATTCTGAAATGATAAGCCAGTAAATTGTAAGTCAGTAATTAAAAAAATGAATAAAAACAAGCTAAATTTGTAACAACATGCTCACAAACACATGAAAGTCATGATGCACTTTCACAACCATGCTATCAATGAACATATATAAATATATAATCTTAAATTGTAGCATTTTAAGAATGAAAAAATTTAAAAGTATCTACTAATTGCCTGTAAATAATATATCTACTTAAAAATGGGTCAAAATTTAATTAAAATATGGAAAATGCTATAATTTATGCATACTGTCGAACAATTACCCATTATTTTTGTCGTCTAATGCATAAGAATTATAGTTGTCTGTGGGAAATAAAAGAAAGGCACCAAAGTCCATACTGGAAAGAATAATTAGAAATGAAGACAGACGAATGATCGGAACACCAAAAGTTATCGATACTATAATTGATGCAAACACAGAAAAAAGTGCTCTTCCAACACGAAACGCACTGGCTCACACTGCCGTTGTCGCCACGGCCAAATTGAGCTACGAATTGCAGCCCCATCCACCTTATTCTCCATATTTATCCCCGTGCGACTTCTTTTGGTTTCTTAGCTTCAAAAAGTCACTCGCTGGGCATAAATTTGAGTCGAATGAGAAAATCATCGCCGTCAAGGAGGCCTACTTTGCAGACTTAGAGAGAAAATGTATTTTTTAGCCGGGTTAAAGGCGTTGAAGCATCGCTGGGTATAAAATAGAATATAAATATGCTTGATTGTCACTGAAAATTGTAAAATTTTATGGACAAAACTTACAAAAAGTCTAAAAAATAACAATAACAATTAAAATTTACTGAAATTACAGAAATCGTCAGTATCACAAAATAAAAGATAATAAAATATATAATCCATTGCAAAATTGAACTAAATTGCATAACAAAACCTTACGAAGTACTTTACGAATAAGTTTAAGTTGCTGCATTTGATACTTGTTGCAAAGGGAGATGGTTGTATAATTTTTTGCCGAATATAATATAGATTTCTTTACTAACTCAGTGGATGGGATCGGTAAATATACATTAAAGGTTGAATTTCTGGTGGAGTAGTCCTGATTAGGTTTTGCTGGAAAAACATGTAGGTGTTTACGAATTAAGCAAACGGTTTCTAGAATATATAAAGAGGGAATAGTTAAAATCCCCTGATTTTTGAAGTAGCTTCTCCAATGTGTTATTCTACTGAGGCCAAAAGATACCGTATTGCTCTTTTTTGTAATTTAAAATTTCAGATTGGTTAGCTGTACTAGAACTCCAAGAAGGAAGGCCATCTGGAAGATGAGATGAACAAAGAAAAATATGTTATTTTGGAAGATGCTAAATTCATTTCCTTCGAAACAGATCTTATTGCATAGCATACTGAGGCTAGTTTCTTACTTAACAAATCGATAGAAAGGGGCCATTTAAGGTTGCTGTTTATAACATTACCAAGAAATTTTATACAATCAACCATACTGATCTGGCTGTTATTAAGAAGAAAGGGTTGAAGAGCTCCTGTATAGGATAATGCTACTGTCTTACCACATACAATTATTTTGTGACTAGAGTCAGTACCATTTGCTTTAACTAGTTGTTTCCTATTCCTCAAGTAAGATTGGAACCAATTTAAAGAAATACTTCGAATTCCGTAGAAATTTAGTTTTTTTTTTATGAAAATGTTTTAAGAAAATTTAAGAATTTAAGACATTTAAGAAAATTTTTATGGAATTTGCTTTTGGATACAATGACGTATAATATATAAACTACGCGGTCCCCTATTCTCGCTATAGAATGAAGTGTCCGAAAGATCTCGGCTCAAGGTTGAAGGTATGTTTATCACAACAGCGGCGTGCTCATTTATATGTTAATGACAATAATTATTTTTTTAATTAAAATTAAATATTTATGATTTCTTTTTGTTCCCGTCTATAAGAGAAATAATTATTTTGATAAAATAGTATGGCATTTTACTTAAATAGTAAGTAAATAACTCTCAACATTTTAAAATAAAATTTGCTGTCACACAAAATGGAAAAAAATGTTTTCATACGTCCATGATGTTTTCAAACACAAGATCAACTTCGTGATGCTTCGTAAGAAATCATGAACTTCGTGCATCTTCGTATCAAAACAATAAACAATAACAAAGGTATTCATGTTTTGGACACTTTTTAAAGCGTTCACCGAGTCTATATATTATACGTCATTGTTTGGATACTACTACAGGAAGATTTGCTTTTGCTACTACTGATTGTTTGGATCAGTTCAGATTTATTAACTGGTTTTATAAAGAAAAAATTTGAGAGCTTTTTTGAATTGGGGAGATAGGATATAGGATCTTATTATGGCAAAAGATATTAAAATGTTTGAGCTGTGTTAGTTTTATTTCAACGATCGTTTATTATCGACCAAGTTTCTCTTGCAACATTTTTAGTGCTTCCCAGACGATTCTGATAGTACATTTTTTTAACTGTTTTGATAAGTTTTAGATAGGTTCCTCTGTACTTGGAGATATATTCAGTGACAAAGCGGTTAAGTGTATCAAGCTAAAAGGAGATTATGATGAGTAAACTTTTTACATATAACTTTTTTAACTTCTTAATTACGTTTAACAAACAAAAAACTTCTTAAATAGCTTGGGTACTTGTTCAACAGTAAAAAACTCATCGCAACGTTTAAAAACCAACAAAAACATTAACAGTGCACCGCGTAATGATGTGCAAACAATAAAAGAAAATGTAAAAAAAAAAATAATTCAGGCAAAGCCGCTACCTTAATCAGGCTAAGCTGTTCCATGCTTTCACGTCTCACCCTATGTAATTGCGAATGACCTACATTGTTAGAGCTGTCTGACTTCGTCATGTCCGAATCGTCGGTGGGACTTTCGGGTATATCCAGTATCTTTTTCAGATCAGCGATGTTCATTTTTGCCGTAGCTTCGCCCATTGAATCACCCAACTAGAAAAAAAGTTAATCATAAATCATAAAGTGATAGGTTCGTCTGTAACTGTATAAGGGTTTTGTTCAATTTAAAGTTTGAAAGATGCTTTGCAAGTTTAAGAATTTTTTAACGGTTTTAATGTACCAACAGACGTATAATTTTACCAACTAGAAATAATATTACTAAACGAGGTATCAAATCATATTTTGTAGAACATTCTAACCGATTATTTATTATTATCTTATCATTACAGATACATCGTGGAAAACAGAAGTTTAACAATTTTACGAAGTTTACTACATAAATTTTGAGATATGGCAACACATTTTTCGGCTTTATCAAAGTTTTGTGCATTTTTAGCGCTGTCGTTTAGGTTGCTGTCATACTAACACAGTTTGCATTTGTTATTGTGTACATTTCAAATCTGATCCAATATACCATATTATCTTTTTCTATTTTTTGTTCACCCTTTCATACATATTTTTCATGATACTATGAACTAAAGATAAACCCACGCGCACGCGATCAGTCGTGTGACGTCACTTGGCGACAAATGTCACCAGAAGTGTTCTGTGTTGTATGGAGTTTTGTCAGATTTAGTATTGTTTTATCGTATCTTGTACGTTGACATCGGTTTACTGGGTAAACCATCTTTCCGAAGGAGGTTTACTTAAACCATATCCAGATTTTATAATTAAATGTAATGAACTGGACCATATTTTTAACAATTTTAACAAAGAGTCATTAAAATTAATCAAGAATTATTTAAAATCGCTAATGGATTTAGCTGTGTTCAGATGTAATGTTAGTAAACGTAAGTTCAGATGTCAAACATCTTTTTTTTAGGTGTAAATTATATTTTAAAATTAGAAGATTGAATAGATATATTAAAGAAACATCCAAAGTTAAGAAGAAGAAAATATTAAAAATTGTAAAATAAATTGTTAAATAAACTTGTAAATTATTACAGTGTACTTTATTTTATCAGTTGTATTAAATTTTTATTTTAATAATCAATCCATTGTATATAAATTTCCATTTCCAAAAGGATGTTTAGTTCCTACTTTTTTATATAATTTTATTATCTATTTAAATTGTATTAATTTACATTGCTAGGCTAACAGAGATGTATATATAACATATTTTTAAGTTTTAATTGCAGATATTTTACCTAACATCCCTAAATATTCTAAATTTAAATAAACCCTCTCTTTCCATATATGTTTTACCATGATGATAGCGATTATACGCTTATCTTAATAAAGGTTGGTGATAAAAGTGGAACTTTTATCACCAAGTGACGTCATGCGCGTCGACGTACAAAATTCGATTGCGAAGTGGGTTTATCTTGGAAGTCTTAGTATCATGCATATTTTTCATGCATCTTTTTCTATTTTTCGTGCACCCCTTTAATAGAAATTGCCTCCTAAGTGGCTTTTCGATTGAGGTTGGCAAATATGGCAAATTTCTGTCTGCCCTGCTCGATGAATTAGTTGATTTTCTGTTATATGGGTTCACCCTCTTATGTTACGGAGCCATGATTTTTCCTTTCTTCATATATTTCTTTTTCATTCTAATATTACTTGAAGTTGTCAAAGCAGATAAGCAACGTTTGTGTCACTATAAGGACAGGGAAAGCAATTGGTTAGAGAGAGAAGTATCTTTTAGCTATGTAACAACGAGAACGATATATTACTTCACATTATTTCGAAAGAATCTACATTACTGACTGCAACAGTTTAACTATTAGCCGCTAGTCCCCACCAGTAATTCGCCATTTTTTAATTTAAATTAATTTACAATATTTGTAACATTTGACATAAAACTTGACTTAATATGTGACATAAAATGCGACAGTTTACATAAAACGTGACATTTGACATAAAACGTGACATGTGAGATAATATGTGATATAGTAACGTCACGTCATTTGAATGGGTACAGACAGAGTTTCAAGAGAAACTTATTGAGTTAAGGAAAGATATTAAAGTATATCAAGGTTTAAGAAAAAATATTAAACAATTAGAGAACCTGCATATTACTAATAGTGATATAAATTGAAATACTCAAATAATACAAAAGCAGCAACAAAGCAACAGGATTTACGCTGATAGACGGCTACTACAAGCAACATATCCACGAAGACGTATTCCATAGATAATCACAACAACACCACCAGCGGGAACATGAAAGGTGAAATTAATAATATATTCACAACGACGTGTTGATCCGGAATAGGTAAGTTGAAATAGTCCCTGACGCTCGAAAAACGATTCGTGGATCGCTTTTTAATCTAATAATAATAAATTGGCGGTAAATAATAATTTATCTAATAATAATCAAAAAATGGCTGCGGTCGACTAGTGAATAATAGTTGAACCTTAGACCATTAAAGTTTGTAGAGTGAAGCAAACATAAATTGCTTTGCGCAGCTATGCGTGACGTCAGTTTTATATATACAGGTAGTAGGGCTAGATATACGCCGTCAGTCCCTGGTGATTTGAAAGGGATAAAGCACAATATGGCCCATTTTACCTTTTACTCATTAATCATTGTTCTGGCGAGATGCCAGTCATTTATTGGGGTATGATTGCTTCTTCCGTCTAGTTTGGTGCTGTTGAGGCGCTAGAACCGAGGAAGTGTGTTTTCATCAGGACCTCAACACTTTCGCAAAGGTTGGAAGTTTTGTTTCCATCTTCCTTCGTTAATATGCCGACATGCCGATGTGGGTCCTTTGAGAGCGCTTTTTGTAGTCTTGAAGCCTGCGGGAAATCTTCGATTTCCTCGCAGAAGGTTCTCCAAGCAGCTCTTTGTCTTTGTCTGCCGACTTTTTTAAATTCTTTGAGATTTGATTGATAGGAATCCCAATTCTCTTTGAGTTTGGTGCCGTTCAAATAATTAGTTCCCACCTCTATTCTTAACAGTTTTTCAGAAATTATCAGTTTCTGGTTTCAACAATAATTGTAGACCAGAGAAACGAGAATTTAGTCTAGGGCCAAAAAGTGGGGTTTGATTGCCGATTGAGCTATCCATGAGATTTACAACTGATTTTCAAAGTTTGTTTGGTTTGTATTTTCAAAAGAAACAAAACATGATTTGAAAAAAGGTTTATCTTTCATCACTTTATTTATTATATATAAGCATTTAAACAATTAAATTGTTAATAACAAATTCTTGCCAAAATTTTGGATTATCATGTTGAAGATTCGGATTCAGCGGGTCAAAATACAGACATTTCAGTTGTGAAATCTCATGAACCTCAATCGGCCACGAACTAATTTATCAAGAGAGTCGCTGTCACTGTCTCTTCCCTGGTCTAATATTGCCGAAACCAGAAATTGATAATTATAGGAAAAACTGTTCAAAATAGAGATGGCAACGAATTATCTGAACAGTTCCAAAATCTCAAAAATTGAAAGTAATGTAAATTGTTTGAGGTTTTATATGAGTAGAAAATAAGTTATCTAAATTGATCCAATTTTTTGTTCGTATAATTTTATTTATTAACGTTTTAAGCGAAATATAAGGCTAATACTTAATTGACATACCTTTAAAATGTTTACTGTACGTGGACCTCTGAATGTATTTATATCTGTAAAACTTGCAGATAATCATAATTGAAGTATGTTGAATGTATTTCGTCTAATAGTTTCTAATTTAATCAAGAGTTCTTTTATAATAGATAAATCTTTAAAAACTTACCTCTTTACTTATTTCTAGATGTTTCTTGGCAAAACTAAGGGCTTTATCGTGATTTCCTAGCGACGCATAAGCGTTACCGAGAGACCAACACGCTCTACCCTCTCCAACTTTGTCTGATAAATTCTGAGCGATCAGGAGATGTCTCAGATGATATTCTATCGCAGCATCGTAGTTTCTTAACAAAGTGTAAGTGTTTCCTAAGCTGTAGCACGCTTGAGCTTCGATGGCTTGGTCGCAAAGTTCCTGGGCCAAGGAAAGTGTTCTCCTAAACGAAATATATTCTTTTAAAATGTCAGCAAAATAAGTAAATAGTAAGGAATACGATTAAATACTTAAATATTTGATCTCAGCTCTTATTCTCTGATTACTGAAAATATAATTACTAATAGTAAAATAAACAAAACTCTTACTTGTAATGGTGAGCAGCTTCTTCGAATTGTCCCATAAATATATGCGAATTTCCCAAGTTGCTATGTGCTCTTCTCTCGGCAGCTTTGTCTCCGAATTGTCTAGCTATCGACAGTCGTTCTTCGTGGTACCTAATCGCCTGGGCGAAATCGCCTAGTAGATAAAACGTATTGCCCAAATTTCCACACGCGCGCCCTTGCGCCGCAATGTCGCCTAGATCTTGCATTAATGTTAGATTCTCTCTGCAATTATTTACGTATATAAAATGAAGTACGTATACACGAGGATGGTTTGACATTAATCTAGCCTCCGATAGATGTCGTTATTGAGTACGAATTTTTTTGATTAGATGTCAAATTACAACTACAAAAATTTCAAGCAAAAAAATATTAGTTTGCATGTATTGTTAAAAGTACACAACTGTGTTTTTGTGGGATTAGGTTTCAAATTGTTTTCATCAAAGTATAGTAATATGTATTCTAGAACATTTGTCCATTCTTGGGAAACCATTTTTTTGGCTCCTCCGCCGCCAATTCCTGCACGCGAGTGTATGTAAAGGCGTCTGTTCTGGAGAAGATATATCACCAATCTCGTGAATCAGAAATCTTTTGTAGTTTTGTACAGTTTTGCCAGCAGCCGTTGATGACTAACTGTGTCATAGGCGACAGTTAGGTCTATGAACACTAACCCTGTAATTTCTTTCCGTACAAAACCATCTTCAATGTGTTGGGTGAGGTTAAGGGTTTAAATTGAACGTGAATCAACAATTAAATTTCCTGGGATTTTTACCTCTGGAATGGAACCATCTCAACTATCACTAGTTGTATGAAATCATACTTTATATGACACTACAGCGTAGCCCATACAGTTCCCAATGTATGTCCTATGATGTAACAGATAGTACTCAATAATAAACACAGACAAAGTAAATTTATCATTTCAAAACTCTTTCAACTTATTTCTCCAACACATCCAACACGTTTTTTACATTCACTGTACAGCGGAACAAAAAATTTCAGTATACTGTTGACCTGCATCAATTTTTAACCAAAGTATGTCTCAGTTGAGAGAAAAATCGGCGTGTTTCGAGGTCTCCTTTAAAATATTCTTTTGTAGAAGATATTTTAACTGGAGCACCTCGTATAAAAACTATAATAATAGACTACATACATGCATAACCCACATTATATTAATTCAGAGTCAGGATGCAGAATAAATTAGTAGTAATCAGAGTAATTGTGTTAAATAACATATACACTTGATATTTTTTATTTTTTATGAAAAATCTATGAAAATTTATCATTTTTTTTTATTAGTTGTAATTTTAAATTATCCCAGGACTTTTCACTGTAATTTATCATGGACGTATAAAACAGAATGTTTACTGAAATAAAGCAATTGCATATTATCTTTCCGATATGATCACAAACTACCTAAAAATGTGTAAACTTTAAGGATTTTTCACCAGAAGAAAAATTTCTGTGTAAATATGGTTTGATAATGATATACATAAGATCATATTTCATAGATAAAGTATATGTAGAGCGTGAAAAACTTACTCGTAATATGTTACAGCTTGGAGTAAACATCCTTTGACATCTTCAGGAAAATCGCCGGGATCCTTATTCCCAACTCTACCTATATGCTTTCCTTTCGCATGATACACATTTCCTAAATTGTACAAAGCTCTGCCTTCACTTAGTTTGTCACCTAGTTCCCTTGATAGTTCCAGATGTCTCTTGCAGCATACAACAGCTTCGTCAAATCTACCCATGACTTTCAAGGTATTACCTAAGTTACCAGAAGATTTGGCTTCCCCTAGTTTATCTCCCATGGTCCTTAAAACAGAAGAAATAGGACATAGAAAGATAAGAAGAATATGGTAAGTAAGAGAAATATACAATAACTTTATAGTGCAAATAGATAGTTTTTTAAGACACTCTGTTAAAAAGGAAACTTGAGATTGAGTTTTAGTATCCTTTTGGGTTTGGAGGGTCCAAAAACTAATACAAAAAATTTGTAGATGTCAATTTGAAAATTAAATGTTATCCTAATACTGATCCATAATCATTCTAATAGTTTTTTTTTTAGATTCTTTAGCTAATGAGATGTGATTTTTGAACCCTAAGTAATATAGTGTTATTTTTGGGTAGCAGAGGCAAAATATTTTTAAGTGATGTACATACAATCCAGTTAAGAATAAATTAAAAAAGAAATTTTTATTAAAATTCAGAAGAATAAATAAAAAGAGATATATATTCCCACGTTAGGCAAAAAAATAAGATCTGGGCGAACCTGATAAAGAATCACAAATCTGTTAGACAAAATAATCCTAAACAGATTAACCCACAGACTCACTAGACTTCTACAAGTGGTAAAAAAACAAGGACTTTCACTCATATATTACAAAATTATTCTCTGAAATTATAAGCAAACAATAAAAAAATGTAAATCAACAAAAATGATCCTATAAAGAAACCCTGATAGAACATGAGTACATTCTAGTTTTGAAAAATTTTAGGTTTTCCATGAACACATTGATGATGTTTCTGGCATCATTGATAAATAATAAAATGATTAAGACATTGAAGACATCTTAAATGCTCCTTACTGATTGTCGGCTACTTTAAAAACTCACAGAAAAACTACATTTAATAAAATTGTAAAACTAGCAGAAGGCTTCCAACAAGATTTAGTAGTAGGTAATATTTTGAAGAACTTGACACTAATCCATTTGGAATTATTCATTTGGATTTATAAATGAACATTTAACAATACATAAGTGTCTTCCTATAATTAATGAGATTTAAAACTAGTTTAAAATGAAAAGAGTATCATACTTTGTTGTTTTTAGATGTTCAACAAGCAATTGATAGAGTGTTGCACAATGGACTGCTTCATAAACTTACAACATTCCTACCTAATCTATTTGACATTATCCTGAAATCCTGTTTAAATGATAGATACTTTCAAATGAAAGTAGATGATAAAATTCATCATATTACAAATCTATAGAAACAGATGTCCCTCAGAGCAGCATACTTTGCCCTTTCTTATACATATTATTTACTGTAGACCTTCCACAAACTATTATATTATTATTATAACAGCTACATATGCACTCAATACAGGTTTTGGTATCACTAAAGCATCTCGAAAATTACAGTACTATCTGGATATTCTTTTTAGAGAGCTACAGAAATGAAGAAAAATATTATAAATAAATTAACATTAAACAATTTTTCACAAAAAAAAGAATATGTTTAAAATATCGAAAATAAACTAGTAGTTGGTAGAATCCTATTAAAATACCCTCTATGTATATACTAATTACTTGATATGTAATGATAATAAGTATTAAAAATAATTTCTGAAACCAAAATCAGCCCTATTATCTTTTATAGAAATATGTATATTTTCCCATAACTTTTTCTTAGAATATTTTTATGTAATTATAGACTAAATTTTATAGCTTCCATAAATACTTCAAAAATATGCTCAATTCTTGCACAAACATTTTCTTTAATCCTATCCTGAGTTTATCACTAATAATTTCATGTTCGTACTAGCTTTACACAATGTAGAATACAAAGTAACTATGTAATTCAAAATATTGGGAGGAAAATTCCTAGAATGTCCAGTGGTATACAGTAATCCCTCGTTATCCGCAGACTCATCAACAGCGGTTTCTTTCAATCTTTAATGAGAATATGTTATTATTTTTATATATTTTTTATAATTTGAACAGTCGTGTTAAATTACTCATGATACGCAACTGGAGCTTCTTCATAGTAGTAATAGTATGGTAATTAGTTTATAGTTCGGAACAGAAAGTTTAGAATATCGGCGAATGTAGATGCTGATCTCAGCGTCTTTATTTTACATAGATATGCAATTACATATTTTGTACTTCTACAGTTCTCGTTTTAACGTCGAACATTACATACTTTTGATACTAAAAAAATGTCTAAAAAGATGTGTAATAAGTTTAGATAAAAAAATTCAGCTGTTAGACTGTTTAGCTGCAGGAGAATGATTTGTTAGCACCGCAAAGAAGTGAATGAGTTTACTGTAAGGACTATTAAAAAGAGTGAGACAATCATTTGTTCAAGTGTTTTGCATGGCACTAGTTCAAGCTACAAAGTAACTTGTTTTTCATGATCTCAAGCCTTGGAAAAATGGAAAAAGCACGCCGTTTCCATCGAAGGTCAAACAAAAAAAAAACAGTGCCAATTAGCACATGAATAATACAAGAAAAGGCTGTTTTTCATTACAAAAATCTAAAGGCTGACATCGAATCTTCTAGTTTCCAACCAAGTAAAGGATGATTCGAAAAATTTAAAAAAAAAGAGTTTCTTTACATAAAGTCAAAATCATGGGAAATTCAGGTTCAGTGGACCAAAACGCCGCCAACCACTACTCAGCTAAACGTAAAGAACTCATAGAAAGGGAGGGGTATAAGCTGGAACAAGTTTTTAACAGCTACGAAACAGCCCCTTTCGGAAAAGAATGCCTGCTCATACCTTCATATCAGAAAATGAGAAATCACTAGGCTTTAAAGCGGGAAAGGTCAGGTTAACTGTTTTATTTTGTTGTAACACTTCAGGTGGTCATGTTACAACCAATGCTGATTTATAAGTCTCTAAATCCACTGCCTCTTAAACATAAAAATAAAAATGAACTACCAGCATTTTGGAGGGCAAATAGAAAAGCATGGGTTGTGGCAACATTGTTTACAGACTGGTTTACTGTTTTGTGCCTAGCGTTAAGCAATATTTAACATCAAAATCGCCACCATTTAAAGCACTTCTTCTTATCGATACTGCTCCTGGACATCCAGAATCCCAAAACTTGATAGATTCACATGTGAGAATTGACTTTTTACCTTCCAACACCACTTCACTTTTACAGCCTTTGGATCAGGGAATAACAGCTGCATTTAAATTTATTACCTAAGGCATACATTCAGCTATATCTTCAATTGCATGGAATTAGATCCTTCATTGACTGTTACAGATTGTTGGAGACAATTTCATATTTCTCACTGTATAACTATAATCAAAGAAGCCACTGGTGAAATATGCCCATCAACTATAAACATGCATTGGAAAATTCTATGACCAGAAGTTGTTATTGTAACCTCAGAAGTATCCCATAAAACTGAAGAAGTCGATGATATTCTACAAGTGATGCACAAAATACATGGGAAAGGTTTTGAAAATCTGCAATCAGGTGATGTTGAAGAAGTTCTAGCTGCCAATGATAGTGAACTTACAGAACAAGAGCTCCTCGAAATACTGAAAAATAGTAAAGAAAATGATGAAGACGGTAACTCCAAAGAAGTAACAGCCGAGTCAGTATTCACGTCTCTCACTTTAAGCAACATAAATGCAATATTATCATCTGCTCAAAAACTTTAGGATCTGGTTTTTGATGTGGATCCTTCTATGGTAAGGAGCTTGAAATTCAAAAATGGTTTAGAAGGCTTATTGGCACTGTACAAAGAAGCACAAAAGGAAATTAGGAAGACAATGAAGCAGCCAACCATCCTATTCTATTCTAAAAAATGAAGTTTTTAAAACCTCTTAATACAATGTAGGTATGTATACATATAATAAATATGACTATCTAACTGCTTATTTTGTTTCATTTATATATAATGTACATAATTTCATCATATTTCTTTCTATTCTATATCAAAATATCAAAATTGGGATTATATGTCATATTCTTCTTTGGATCATGGATCCCTCGCCAACAATGGTTTCACCAACTGCACCTTTCCCTTCAGAATGTAACTTCCGCGGTTGAAGAGGGAGTACTGTATTCCAAACCTAATTCTACACAGAGGCTTATAACATACCATATGCATCATATCATACTTAAGTTATTATAATTATAAAACCACCTAATAAGAGAACTTTTTACCTAATCAGCAAAAGAAAACTGAGTAGATTGTCATTAACTGGAAAATACAACATTGGTACTGAACTTTACTTTTATTAATAAAAGAATCAAACCTTGCTAAAGTTAGGTCATGTTTATGATACTGCATAGCCTTTCCATAGTCTCCCAAATAAAAATAGGCATTTCCCAGCTGACTGTAAATGGCACTAAGGGTTCTCAAATCGTCTGTACCAGCTTGAATAGCAGCTTGGAAAAAAGCCACTCCTGCTTTACAATCTCCTGCCTTGCAGAGACGTTCACCTTCTAATGCCAACTCCAAACACATATTACCTGATCCGTCATATTCCTAAGACAAAAATTAGTTAACAACGGTAAGAAATGAACTAAACTGTTGCTGTTTTAAATGCTTACTTGAAAATCTGCGCCTATATTTTCAACACTTGTACTAGACATTTTTTCTAAATAGTTATGATTCACCTATTTTATCTAGAAAACCTTATGTTTATGTAGTTAACAATGTCTAAGGTGGAAATTTTAACAATATTTACCTAAATATTCAGTAATTAACTTAACAATGTGTTATAAAAAGTGAATATTATAGAAATAAATTACAAAATTATTCATTTAAGTGTGATTAAAAACACCCTTTGCTTTGATTTTTTTATACAAACAAAAATGACAGTTGTTCAGTTCATGACATTTAGGATTGACAGAAGGCGTAATAGTGAGGTGCCGTAAAAATTAACGAAATTAATTTTGATTGTATTAAAACAGGCTAAATAGATTTAATTTAAACGAATAATTATTGTCTCATTCAAATAAACAATTTGATTACCGAATTTTACATTCGCAAGATAATAATTAAAGTTGAGTTGGTTGGCAACTTTACTTACAATCACGAGTAATAGAAGTTGCGAGAAATTAGTTGCAAAAAATATAATAATTTAAATTTTGGAGTTGTGTTTAAGATTTTAACACAATTAAATACTAGTTTACTTCTTTATTAGTGTACGCATTTGAATGAAAGCACTTTAAGACATATTTGGAAAGATATAGCATCTCACTAATTACTTCCACCTTACAGATATAATAAACAGTAGGTATTTCATAGAACAATATTTTACATATATTATCACAAAAAAGAATAGAAGACGGAGGAACTTAAAAAACAGTTTGCCCCAAAGCAGTATTTTGTCTTCTTTACTCTTTTTATTTAGAATAGTTGTCTAAGTATTATAACGCTAACCACCTGAAGACAAATCTAAAGACTAGCGAGACAGCTTAATGTAGCATGGAGTGATATTGGACTGGATAGTTGCAATGCTCGAGACAAGCATTGCTTCTTATCTTAGATATTTGGTTATTGAATTAGAATATATGAAAATATGTAAAGTAAAAGAAAAATTACTAGAAGAACAATGTTAAGACTGTAGTGGAAAGTGGGGAATGGTGACCCCTGGGGTAATGGTAGCTATGAAATATTTACATTTCCGGCCTAATATTATTTTGAGTTTAATACCTGTTGCGCTATCTAACAATGTTTCGTTTAAACTGTGCCTAAAACAATGACGATATTTTGCCGACAAAGAAGGAATTTTTGACCTGATGCCTGGAGATACTGCTGGCCGGCCACTATTACCCCCAAATTGTATTTATATAATACAGAGTATTTCTTTATAAATTCTTATATTTCAGATGCCTTGAGTTTACAAGAGAAAAGTGACAAAGCACGATGGAATGCTGAGCAACTTAGTGCAGCAATAAATGCAGTAAATAATGGCAGAAGCGTCCGTGAAGTTGCAAGAAGTTTTGCAATTCCCAGATCTACAATTCATCTACGACTAAAGCGAAATGATACAACAGCTACTTTTTTAGATCGTAATTCTGTATTTACCAAAGAAGAAGAAGAAGTTTTGACAAAGCAGGTCATAAAGTTATCAGAACATTTTTATGGGATATATTATTCTTCCAAAGATAAACTTTAATGGTTCATGATCTGAAATAATGTAAAAGTTTCTAGCAAATAAAAATTTATGAAACTTTTTGACATCATAAATCACAACCAAGGCCTCACGCTCTAGGTTTGGGAAATTTTTTTCTGCAGGTGACAAAGTGCTAAAAGCAAATTGTATTGGTCTATCCTCCCCATTTATTCTATGGCTTAACACAGCACCAACTCCATGACCACTTAAGTCTACTGTTAAGAATATAGGTAAAGATGGGTTATAATGTGTTAGTACCTGATCAGCAGAATGCAAATAAGCTATACAGAAAAGAAATGAAGCACATAAGAATTACACACTCAGACATACTAGAGAAAGAAAAACAGAATTTGAGAACAAAAGACGAAGAGCAAATAAACTGTGCAGGCAGAAAAGTACGAAAACCATACTAAACATAGAGAGGGAGTTTAAGGAAAAATAAATACGTAGTGCATAACAATTTATGAAACATTTAAGACAGGGATACAAACCGAAAACTAGCCTCTGCAAAAATTACAAGGGTCAAATTATTAGCGATATGGACGAAATTAAGAGAACCTGGATGACATATTTTCAGGAATAACTAAACAGAGGGACACAACCATCTATTAAACAACAGAGGCAGCAGCAGGCACGGCAGGAGGTAAAACAACAAGGGCTGGGGAAGATGGAGAAGAAAATGAATTACGTACAAAAAAAGCCATAAAGCACCGGGAATAGAAAAAATACCGGCAGAACTACTTAAGAAAGGAGGAAAGAATTTGACACAACAGATGTACCAGCTAATACGAGAGATATGGATAGAATAAGAAATCCCCCAACAATGGAGGAAAAGTATAATCTGCTCATAAAAAAAGGGCAAACTGTTGTGTCAGAATTATAGAGGCATTTCTTTACTTTTTTCGGGATACAAAATACGCACAAACATCATTAATCGAAGAATTACGGAAACCGCAACCTCTCACGGAAAAAATCATCGGGGAATATCAAGTAGGGTTTAGGCAAAATAGATCTACCATTGACCAACTATTTACAGTTAAACAAATACTAGCCAAAGCATGGGAATATGACATGGACGTTTACAATCTCTTTGTAGATTTTAAACAAGCCTATGATTCATTAGATATAACAATTCTATCTAATACATTGGAAGAATTTAGCATGCCATCAAAATTAATACGACTAGAAGTGCAGGTATGTATTCAAGGACAGATCACTGATGCGTTTACGAGAATGCAAGGACTGAAACAAGGCGACAGACTGGCTCCAACGCTCTTTAATCTTGTTCTTGAATATGTAATTAGATGGTTGACGATGAGCGGAAATAACATACTCACAAACAAATCTACCCAATTGTGGTTTTAATTTAGACAACATGGGTATGAAACGACCATAATAGTTAATAGGATGAATACCAAACTCATCAATTCTCTAATCTAAAAACTCAATACTAGTCTCATAAAAAATACACTTTTTCTCATATACCTTAACATTAAACTAAGAAAATCTCTCAAATACCTTACAAACATTTTTATGATATTCTTCCAAGGTTTCACCATACACAAGCATATCATCTACATAACATTTAGTTTTTTTCCACCCTACTAAAATGAAAATGTGGTTGTAAAATTTGTGGTTATTAAAAATGTAAAACTAAAATTATATGAACCTATTACTTTCCCTTTAAATAAAATTAATTAGGTTTTGAATACAAGTTTTTTTAAGCTTTTGGATGAATGTCTTTCAGATATTCGAAATAATTTATCATGCAGCCTATTTCTTTTAATTTATGCAAACTTTTTTGTTTTTGCCTTGGTTTTATGTAATTTTAGAAGGCTGCGGGCCGTAGCCCTACTTTTTAAAGAAAAGTAATGTCTTTTTTATGCGATTTTTTTTTGCGCGCTTTTTTGTTGAAAGTATCCACCGCATAAAACGAGACCTTACTGTATTAGATACAAGAAGCGCAATGACCAGGAAAAGAAAAGCAAATTGGATTTTAGCCGTACAAACTGTACAAAGGAAGTAAAAAAATATATTTTAAGCTCATTCTGATTTTCCTGTTCAGTGACACAAGTTTTCTTCCTCATATTGTGCTAATAATATCCAAAAAACTAAAAATCATTTCGCAGAAACTTAGGTTCAAATAAACTCATACAATTTAACAACAGGGAAGTCCACTCGACAACATTACACTAGACCCAAATGTTAGAACAAGCTAAACGGCAGAAGTCTATAAATACTCGCGAATGTGTTGTCACAGTTTCGACCGAGAGTGCCACTATTAATGTTTCAAAGAAACCCTGAATCAGTTTCCTTCCCGACAGAATCATATAATACACCGTCTGGCTCTAAAAAGATTCGCGCTAAAGGGAAAATCCACGTTTTTTAAAATAACGGTCTATATTTAAGTGCCAGTATCTAACTCATCTCTTCATTAAACAGTGTCAGTGCTTCTAACGTATAGTGTGTTTATTTTAGCAACGTTCAAAAGGTAAACTAATATTTTTTTAACGCTTAATATCGACAGTTTAAAAGCTTTCGTCTTAGTTCAATGATGGTTTTATTTTATATTGTCAGCTTACGCTAAAAATAGTGATATATATATATTAATGAAACAATGTTACATACACTCAATGCTCTAGGCACTTGAAAAAGCCAGACAAAAATAGAACTATTGTAGGTATTAAATGCATTCATTATATGCATACGGAAAAATAATACGTCAAGAATAGAAGTAGGCTTTTAAATGCCAATATGAAGGCCATATATATACCGGGTGGTGAATCGTCAAACGGGCCATAGGAAACTCAATGAGAAATTTTAAATTGTTGAATTGCTGCTTCCCTAATTATTTTAGATGAAAAGTCATAAATAACTATTTGTAGAGGACTAAAATCTGAATTAAAAACAAATGTTAAAACCGTTCTACGAATCAAATGTACTTCAAAATTTTGCAAAAATATAATACATTTTTCAAGCCACCCCTAAAAGTTAGGCCACACGTAATGCTAGAATATATATTAGGACGTGTGTCTTTTATTATATTGATGTCAGATATTTGACAATTTGAATTGTCAATTTTTTTATTTTATGATTAAATTATAAACAATGAATTTTACTAAATACTACTACTAATGAACATTACTTTGTGAACAATAAATTATATTGTTTACAAATCGATCAATATAATGAAATGTACTCAGTTGACGAAAAATCGCATAATGTTGTATTCAGGCAATAGCGCGAACCTTTTCCTGCCACTAAGTACCGGATCTTTATTTAACGTAAGATATTCTAATTCACTAAAATTTAATTCCATGTTAAGTTAAGTTATACAACAATTCAATGAATTCCGATATACTGTTACTGTGATCTTAATTCCTAATAATAATATATGATAATTTCTAAACATAAAACTATAACAAATGTTATAATAAAACATGAATAAAACATTTTTATTATTGCTTGTTTCTCCTCAACTGAGTACATTTTTTAATCAACTTAATTTTTTTTAACAATAAATTACAAAATTTTGGCCATTTAAATCATAGATAAATGTAATATAATTGATTTAAATATTGTCAAATATCAGAAACAATAATATGACAAAACGCAACACGTAATACACATTTTTTCACAGAAAAATGTATTATATTTTAGCAAAATTTTGGAATACGTTTAAGTCGTAGAATAATTTTAACAGTTGTTTTCGATACATATTTGAGTCATCTACAAATAGTTTCCCATGACTTTTGGTGTAAAATAATTAGGGAAGCAGGAATTCAACAATTTAGAATTTCCCATTGAGTTTCCTATGGCCCGTTTGACGATTCACCACCCTGTATATATATATATATATATATATATATATATATATATATATATATATATATATATATATATATATATATATATATATATATATATATAATATATATATATATATATATATATAATGTTCGGAAAGATTTCCGCGGTTAGTACAATGAAACTTAGAGCTAAGATTAATATTATTACTAAAATAACAAACTCACCAGTCTTCCGGGTTGAACCTCGTCGATATCCATTTTGCCGAGCTTTCGGCATCCTCTCTGATGCCTTCCTCAGGGCTTCCGAGGTCTCAGTCTCCCGAGCTCCCAGACACTACTACACTGTTCACTGATCACTGCGTTGTCACTAAAACTAATCTTCCTCGCATTAAGACACTTCTCTAAACACATATATACCAACAGACTAATTGTAGATGCGCTTGAAAAGCTAAGAATCTTAACATCTCTAAAAAGAATTGTTAACTTTGTGTGGGTTAAAGGTCACTCTAATATTCCAGGCAATGAAAAAGTAGACCATTTGGCTAAAGACGCTACTTAGTGGGTATAGAGTACAACGAGTTGCCCAAATGGGATATAGTTTCAGCTAGGACATAGTTTCAGCTAACAGTAGCAAAAATACATACTGCAGTATATATCCAACTCTTCCATCTACTCCTCAAGTGACAGAAGTCCCATATTTAGGAAAATTTACGTTAGATCGTCCCATATACGTCCCATATGTACGTTAGGTGCCTTTTTGGACATTCTACAGTAAATTCTTACTTATATAAAATAAAACTTCCGAAACTGAATATGTGAATGTAATGGCAATTATGACGCCCTTAGCCACTGGATGTTTCAATGTCGGTATAATCAAAGCCATAAAATTTTTATTTCAAGCCATCTCACAAGAAAAAATCATTCTGCCGCAGAACGTTGCTTCTATTCTCTATTTAGGTAGTCGAAATTCAACTATAAGATAAATTTTATGGGATTTTTTCAAACGTACCAAACGGAAAATCTAAACTGCCCTGTTCAGTGTTGTTGTGTGAATCCGAAATGGTAGGACGTTAGTTGTTGTATTTCCCATTGTTTTTCCTTTTATGTAATTTACCCTTAACCGTTGCCTGTATTGTTTGTGTTAAAAAAAAGTCGCTATGAAGGGCACTTTAGCGTGAAGCGTGTGTTCCTGTTCAATCCTTTTTGTATAGTCGTCCAATAGTGTTTTCAATAGGAAAGGTTAGGAAATTGAGTGAATGTGGAGCGAATGAACGAACGGTTAGGAAATTGTCATGAATTTTAAGGAAGTGTAGGAGATTGTTTTTATGTATTCAACCTATATTGTCTGGCTAAATAGGTCTTGTACCTAAGACCAACAAAAATTGCTTGCTCTACAGAGACCGTAAAGTGAGAATATGAATGACAGGATTATTGAAGTGACGGACTCGTTACAGTGTCACCACCATTTTTAAAGAGTTCGGTAGCAAGATTGTCAAAACCAGGGGCATTGTTATTTTTCAGTTTTGAAATGGCTTCCATAAAGTAATTTCTATTTAGTTTCTTCACGACTGTCGCTAAGCAGTTCTTCAAAATGATTCGCCCACCTGTTTAGTATCTGTTCTTTGTCACTAACTATGGAACCATCTCTGTCTTTATATGCTGTTATTCTGAGTTTGAATTATTTTCTGCAGCTGTTTATCTTCTGGTAGAATTTTCGCGAGTCTTTTCTATTGTGCTGTGTTAACAATCTTGTTTAGAGCGTTTTCGTATGGCTTTCTTTTTCCTTCTAAAGGTTCTTTTTTCTTCTCGTCTAAGATTTTCATAGTCTTCCAGGTTTGATCTCGTTCTGCGCTGGTGAAGTCTCGTATATAATTCATTTTTCTGTTGGTCAATGTTCTGTTTATGTTTAGCCAGGTTAGGTTTCAAAATCCTTTAGCCGCTGTACAGATAGCTTCCTTGCATTTGGTCCAGTGTTCTTCTATACTTAAATTTTCGTCGATTCTTGTCAGCTCTTCATTTAAAATTTTCCTGCAGTTATCCGTAACGTCTTCAGATTTTAACACATCAGTATTATATTTGGTAGATCTTGTGCTCTGACCTTATATTGGATATTATGATTTGCAAATTTGGACCTTTTATATGTTTAATTGATTTAATATGCTTTAGGCTTAATTTTGCAAAAAACAAATTTTGATTAAAATTTGAGCTCATGGCTCCTTTTATCGTTAATTATAATAAGTGGCTTCAAAGTATTTTTGAAGCAGTTGTCTTTGAGGAAAGGATGGACAATGGGATAATAAATTAAACCAAATAATTTTGTAAAACTAAACTATTAAATAATTTATTAAAAAAGAATGAAAAAAAATTATCAGAGTCAGACAATTTTACAATTATCAAAATCATATATCATATGCGCTAATTCATATAATTAAAATTACGAATTCATTAAAATTCCTATACAAATTATCAATATTTATTTGGACTTGTATTCAAATAAAAGATATCTTCTCTGTGTTTTCTTTTTTAAATTAAATCAAGACAAAGACTTTTCTTTCAAGAAATATTACTTCTTTTAATTTTTTATTGTAAAATAAAATCACTGAAAAAACTATTAAAAAAAAACAAATTAATTATGATCTAATTATGATCGTGGTTGAAAGTCTTTGTTGATTATATGGCAACATAACCTTTTATTTCCAAGAATTCTCTACTGGCTCCTTTTCTTCTTTTTGTTCTCCAACAGTTTCTCCAAAAGCTCCTGGATCAAACTCACAAGAACCCAATTTCTTTCTAGTCGAAAGAATTTTCACTTAATTGACTAGACCAAATATACTACACACCTTTTTATTTATTTTACAGGATCTACTCTCGTTGTCCACTGCTACCAATCCTTGGGGCTCGTTCCACGAACACAAAACACCTTTCACAATTTTTATTTGAACAGAACTCTGCTAACTTTCACTGCAGAACATGGAACAAAAACAACTTGCTTATCCTGCTTGAATCCAAAATTCTTGGTTTTTGGGCTGTGTTTGTCATCAGTTTTTACTATCTGATTTGGGTCATTCTGACATCGTGTAGGTAGCCTCTGCTTCGCTTATCTGTCCTTGGTCTCCATTTCAGTAGTTTGTGTCTATTTTCCTTCATTCATCCTTGCCAAATGGCTATCCTATTTCCATTTCAATTTACACGCTATTTTAATGACATCTCTAACCCTAGTTTTAGTTCATAGATCTACGATTCGGATCTTGTTTTTCAGCATGAACCTATCATTGATCATTCCATTTTTCTTTGTGATATCATTAGTCTCGAAACGTTTCTTTTTGTTAGTAAAAGTATCTATGCACTATAGCACACACTGACCGAATACTTTTCTCTTCATATTAATTGATGAATTTTCTGTAAATATATTTTTAATGTTAGAAAATCAGCAAAATGTAAGTTATGTGGAGGAGCCCACCATCCAATTATGCCAGGCTTATCTAGATATATAAGCTAGAAGATACTTAAAATTGTGAAATCATTACAAAAAACAACACCCTTCAAATTCCCACTCCAATCAGTTACACCAACCACAATGAAAACCAGCAGTAGTTCAAAACCAGCCACCTATAACTATACCGCAACCAACAACAAACGGAAATGAATAAGACAGTAAATTTCACCTTATCGCAGTCATCTC